CGGTACAAACTTCGATACGCGACTGGCGGCATATAATATAAGATAAATAAGGTCTCTATCCCGACAACGTACGATAACACAATTCAAGCTCTAACACATTATAGCATAAATAATTGGGATAATTGTAACTGACCTCTGGAAAATTTTAGTTTGCCACGCCATTGATTCTCTAATAGCTTGATACAGGGGCGGGTTTTATCACTCACCAAGGGGCTGGGGCTAATAGAGGTTTAAGAATTTAGTTAGTTGTATATTATTATATACATATTTTCATAATAATATTACACTTCATGTCAAACGTCAGTCGTCGAACGAAAAACAATTATTAATATATCAATAATCAATATATCATAATACTTGGCTTTGAAAAATAGTTAGGTAGCTTAGTCCAAAGGTGGGGGGGGCTACTGGCCCCTTAGCCACCCCCTTAAACCCATCCCTGACTTGATACACTACTCTAATTGTCTTAAGTTCTAAGATATATGTTAAATTTTTAAATGCAAACATATGTTTTCTTAATTTAATTATTAAACATTTTATGTGGTCATTCCATTTAAGATTATGACACATTTCTATACCTAAATATTTACAGTTTTTAACTATTTTTACAAATATTTGGCATGTACATATATTTTGTTTTAAACAGTCATTCTCTTGTATACATAGATTTGTTTTATTTGTTTGATTCAAATTAACCATATAGTGTGGTAATAACTAATATGTAGGTTTTTTCTTTGTTTAGGAATAAATTATTTTCACATAGCAGTTTTTGTATTTTACTCATGTTGGACTGAACACTAGCAAATACTTCATCCCAGAATTGGCCTTCAACAAAAAGTACTGTATCATCTGTGTAGCAAACTAGTTTTCCGTGTGTATTCAAGTAATTAATTAGGTTTATATGTATATTAAGGGTGTCTGTGCCGTTCATTTATTAAGGGGTAATATTTAGGCAATTAAATTCACATATTGAATAGGCCTAGTGCGGAACGTGCATGTGTGGGAGTATGTAAATCGATATTAGTATGAGTGAGCTACAATTACACGCACAGATAAAGATACTTACATACACGAATGCACAAGTCAGTGATTGACTTCGATGACTATTATCGAAGCACTGTTTTGATGAACAAAAATGCTTCTACAGAGTACAGGAAAAACTACCATGCCTCGTTGATAGGTCGGATTTTGGTCATTTTTTTTTATCTGAAGATGAGAAGTTTTTTCAGGTTGGATCAAAGCTCGAATTTTCATTTAACTTTAAATAGTAGTAGAAAAATACGTTTGAAAAAGAACAAATATTGTGCATTATTCAAATGCATATTATTCCAGGCTCCAGCTTCTATAATTATAATTTTCAAAATCGGGCTTTCATTCGACCTACAAAAGTTCTCTTCTTTTAAATAAAAATAAAAAAATTAACGAAATCCGGCTATTCTATAGGGCGTGAGAGTTTTTCCTGTAAGACTTGTGTCTGTACCAAGAAACGCACCGGCTCCGACCCCCTTAACACTGGTACATGAGCAGGTAGCGGCCAATTAGGTAAGCTGTTGTCGTGAAACTCAGAAAAAGCGTAGCCTTAGCTCGAATGCGAGTGAGAGACGCTGTACAAAACGAACATAATTATACTTTAATTAAACTTTAATTCCGGCACATATAGTACGTCTAATAAATAATTACTATTCCATTTATTGTTTGCAAATTATAATATTTTTATATTACCCTTTCCTTCTACTAACAAAATTGAATCGTCATATTCATACTTGAATTGATTTGTCAAACAATACGTAATAATTATAAAACCAATTTATTTTACCTCACATATGATCAGATGCTCCTGAGTCAAGTAACCAACCTTTCTCAATATCGTTCCCGTTATAAATGCATTGTCATCATCACTTTTACTTGTTCCCCCGTATGTTTTCTTAACTTTTTGATTTATCAACTATTTCCCGCATTGATTTTTCCAATGCTCTGGTAAATTACAAAAATAATAATTACTTGGTTTCCCAGTACCTTTTAGATTGTGAGTGGAAACCACGTTGGAACGATGAATATATTGATTTTACAATGATGTTTTTTTTTTTTTGTGTGTTTGTGTACACGATAATAAGTCGAAATAAATTTTCAACTTCAGTATCTTGTTCGATGGGACAGTGAATATTATTCGTGTATTGGGGAGGTCAAAATTTAAAATTCCCAATGGTTTTCAAAACCGACGGGAAAAATAACAAAAATTAAGGAAAAACGAGAATTTTTACGCAAAATCGATTTTGGTTTTTGGAGTAGCTCTAAAACAAATGAACCTATTAACATAAAATTTTCACTGGTTGTTTATATTTGCATTTTCTATACACGATAACATTTTAAAAATATTTAGATTGGTTTTGAACTGTTTGAACATTTTCTGTTTCCAATTTTATTAGTATTTTTTTCTATGAATGTCAATAAAACTTTATTTGTTGGTAAAGAAGTTGAAAATTTAATACAAGGCTTTTACATTATTGTTGCAATGACATTTGAAAAATATTAAAAATCCTTAGTCACAGTTTTAATTTATAAGTATTTAAAGTTCAAATCTTGACAAAATACGGAATAATCGCGAAAATTAGCAAATTATTTTGGGTTGAGAATTCATAAAAATTGTTCTTTTTAATTCCAAGATTTGAAAATTTAATACAAGATTCCTCATAAGTTAGTCTAACTTTATCAAACAAAAAAAAATGTCTACAAGCAAATCAAATTAAATTTTTATGAGCGTTTGAAATTCATATTTTTACAATATTGGATTTCAAATGTACCTACCTAGCGGTTTTGTTATTTTATTGTTATTCAAAAACAAATAACTGTAGATACATGAACATTTTACTGAGTGTTTATATTTTCATTATCTATACCTATACCATACAATTTTTAAAATATTTTGACTGTTTTTGAGCTTTTACCGGAAATTCTCAGTTTTCAATTTTTTTAGTTTTTTTTCTATAAATATCAATAAAATGTTAGTTGTTCTGTCCAAAAGCTTGAACATTTAATTCAAGGCTTCTGATATATTGTTACAATAGCAGTTTAAAAATATTAAAAATACATTGGCACAATTTTGTGTTATAATAGCGCTTAAAGTTCAAATTTTTAATTTTTAATTATTCTGTAGTTAAAAATTTACTATTTGTTCAACTTTCATAGCTAAGGATTTAAAATTTAAAATAAGGTTCCACGTAAATAGGTTATAACATATAAATTACTTTATTCACAATAATATCTTCAAATATACTAAGTAATATCATAGGAAGGCTAACTGACCGTCTTCGCTCAGAATTGTTTTTCTTATACAATGATATCATTGGATTCAAATTGAACACAATCCATTACAAGCCCACCTTTTTTGAAATGTATTTTAATTCGTATTTGGAATAGGTACATTAATACTCATTTATTCGAATACGGAATAAAAGTTATTCTTTACAACACTACCACCCACCATCAAAACTGCAAATAATATATTAGGTAATACATTATGTATTTGTATTTTACGTTGGACAGCAAAGGATTTTAATTAAAAATAAGGATTTTAATTTCTGAAAATAAAGAACTAATTAATATAACAATTATACGAATATCCATAACAACTATAGATTTGGCTATTATTTTGATTTATACAACTTCAGGCTTTTACATGCAAATAATATTAGTGGGTTTATTCTAATTTCTAATCCTTATATAAAACATTTAATTGACAGAAATTATTAAAAATAAAAATTTACCTATAAGGACTTAAGAGTTAGGTCATAATAAATCAAACAATTTCGCAACAAGTACAGTAGGTATAACATTTTTTTAACAACTATCGTAAAAATTAAAAAATTCCTGTACATATATTTCTTAAATTATTTATTATCCATATAATTGTCATAATAATATTGTTGTGTACATTTTTTTCCAGGTCTTTCTGGTTTTGTGACCAACATTTTCTTTTAAATTTAAATTATTGAAATATAAAATAATAGTAAAATTAGAAACTACAACGTTGGCTAATGGCCAGAGGAACAGTACCCATTATGTATAATTTGGTTATTGTTCGGAAGGGTCGGCGTTTACGAATTTTAATTACCTTACACAATTACGAATGTAGTTCGTAAAATCGTATACTGCTAAAACGGCCTCTTGCAGGGTCGTAATGGCGTTAAAACGCCCAGTCTGCGATCCGATCAAAGGGCCCTTTCTAAGGTTCTACATTCTACTGAAAATTGTTAGCTCTGTTCTCTACTTCTCTATTTTTGTATTTTAATAAGATTAAAAAACACATATTATTATATTTTACTATTTGTTATTATTTTAACTAGGGCTCGGAAGTTATAGGAGTTAAAAGATGCAAAATATGCACGAAAATATGTTAAATATGCAAAATAAAATTTATTGAATATACAAAAAAATTTATTTTTTATGTTTGGCTTAATGTTTTGGCTTGTATTTTGTGTTTGATGGATTGTAATTTTTTCAATCTAAAAATATATATAGAATAAAAGTTATTTGAAAAATTATATTAATTTTTTTTTAATTCATTAAACATATAGATTATTGTAACCGTCATACCTGTATTAAATAACCAGAACTTTCTTGATATTTTCTATCCCAAATGAACGACGGTTGTCTGTAAGTACATTTTTGTAGCGCGAAAAACTTCTTTCAACATCCGATGAAGTTATGGGTGCGTATTTAAAGTGCGCCAAGTCATTCCCATTTAAGTCTTCTGGTAGTCCTTTCATTGACGTTGCTTCACCAGTTAAAATGCTTGATATTTTTTTAAATCATTAAAACCACTGTTTTTTTCCAAAAAATTTTTAATTTTTCTTTGATTGAAGTGCCTGCCTCGTCAATAATGTGCTCTAACTTATTTTCGACGGATTGCACTGTCGCTATTGATTCATGTAACGGGAGTTTTTGTTTTTCGAGTTGTGTTATTGTTGTCGGTAAAAAACCATAATTTGCATGAATGAAAGTTAAGTTTTCATTTCCACAGAACGGTCAGTTACAATGATTTTAGCTTCTCTAATAGAAACCGCATCGTTCGAATCTAGAAGTTGTAAAACTTTGTATATTTCTTTAAAATATTGACAGTAGTATGAAGCTGCTTGTAGCCATGTCCCCCAACGTGTTAGTATAGGCTCCGGCGGAAGTGGAATTACAGGAGCTTCAGTTTTGAATAATATAGTACGAGACGGTGCTTTCAAAAACACTTGTTTTACCCTCGATATTAATTTATCTACGTTTGGGAAATGCCTACGTATTTCTTCTGCTATTCTATGCATTCCGTGAGCCAAACATGTGACGTGTATCATTTTGAGTACCTATAACGCTTTTATAGCTTTACCAGCTTTTTTCATATATATCACTTGCAAATTAAAGTACGTCATCGTGCCGGATTCCATCTGGCCACAAATTAAACATTGATGCATCAAATAGTTTAGCTATTGTTGAAAAATTAACTTTATCAAGAACTTCGGATGTCAATAAAAATATTTCACCAGGTTCATCTACCAATAATGTTCCGACTATTACGTTCGCAATACATCTACCTTCGACGTCAGTACTTTCATCGATAGATATCCAAATTTTATTCCCAACGACATGTCTTCGTAACATTCATTTAAATATGTTTTTCTTAAAGTAGATTTGCATGGAATATCTTTAAGGGTATATTTTTCTAGGAATTACCAAAATTCAGTAGGTATTCATAATTTTATTAAGAGGAATATTAGCACACATCATTGACTTACATAAATATTTTGAAAATGCACACTTTTTGGAGGTACTTGAAGAGAACAACTGTTGTGTAGTTGATACCTTCATACTATTTCGTTGACTATTTAACTACCGCTCATGTTTATTCGTTTTTAGATGCTGAGTATCTAACCGTAAATCGTTTTTCGCAATTCACTTGAACTTCACAGATCTTACGAAATAGAATAGTACCGTCTATCACAGTGGGATGAAACACGAATTTAGCGTGCCAAAAGTACCTTTTTTTAAACTAAAAAATTATTGGTTTTTTTTATCAATAATTAATCGTTACATTATTCTGACGATTAAATCAGAATTTCAAAAAAATTAATTAACATACACCTGACTTACAGCTGTTAGTATAAAATATATACATTATTTGATTGATATTTTCAAACTTTTATTCATTTTCTTTTTATTTAATTTTCACACTTCAACGATAAAAATAGAATTTTTTTTTCCACAGTTATTAAATTATATACGTACATGTAACAACGACATATTATTTTTATATTTTAATTATTTTTTTTTTCCTAATTGCTATATTATGTTGAAATTTTAAGTGTTTTAGTGGTTTTTGAACTTTTGAGGAGTAATACTTAAATTTACGCAGTTTTACTAACTATTCAATACATACATATTGTAAAGGAAATTGATAGCTCTTTGAAAATATAAACATTTTTTGCTTTCAGTTTCAACAGTAATTTACAAAAATTGTTTTCTTTATAAATATGACGTTTTACTGTAAAAACCACGCTTTTTATATTATTTAGTTTTCTCACTTGAAACCATAAAATTTTATTTTTTATTTATACAATTGTTATATAATTGTCTTAAATGTAATAATGAAATATTATTTATTTATATTAATTCATTTTTTTTTTTATTTTTTTATATGCTTTTTAATAATAAGTTTTTTAATGATTTTAGTACTTTGGAGAAATGATACTGAAATTTACGCCATTTTACCAACTATTCAATACATAAATATTGTAAAGGAAAATGATAGTCATTTAAAAATATAAACATTTGTTGCATTCAGTTTCAATAGTAATTTACAAAAATCGAAATCGAGGTTTTTACAATAATATCTACGATATATTTATTTAAAGAAAACCATTTTTGTAAATTACTATTGAAACTGAATGCAACAAATGTTTATATTTTTAAATGACTATCATTTTCCTTTACAATATTTATTATAATATTTAGGCAATTAAATTCACATATTGAATAGGCCTAGTGCGGAACGTGCATGTGTGGGAGTATGTAAATCGATATTAGTATGAGTGAGCTACAATTACACGCACAGATAAAGATACTTACATACACGAATGCACAAGTCAGTGATTGACTTCGATGACTATTATCGAAGCACTGTTTTGATGAACAAAAATGCTTCTACAGAGTACAGGAAAAACTACCATGCCTCGTTGATAGGTCGGATTTTGGTCATTTTTTTTTATCTGAAGATGAGAAGTTTTTTCAGGTTGGATCAAAGCTCGAATTTTCATTTAACTTTAAATAGTAGTAGAAAAATACGTTTGAAAAAGAACAAATATTGTGCATTATTCAAATGCATATTATTCCAGGCTCCAGCTTCTATAATTATAATTTTCAAAATCGGGCTTTCATTCGACCTACAAAAGTTCTCTTCTTTTAAATAAAAATAAAAAAATTAACGAAATCCGGCTATTCTATAGGGCGTGAGAGTTTTTCCTGTAAGACTTGTGTCTGTACCAAGAAACGCACCGGCTCCGACCCCCTTAACACTGGTACATGAGCAGGTAGCGGCCAATTAGGTAAGCTGTTGTCGTGAAACTCAGAAAAAGCGTAGCCTTAGCTCGAATGCGAGTGAGAGACGCTGTACAAAACGAACATAATTATACTTTAATTAAACTTTAATTCCGGCACATATAGTACGTCTAATAAATAATTACTATTCCATTTATTGTTTGCAAATTATAATATTTTTATATTACCCTTTCCTTCTACTAACAAAATTGAATCGTCATATTCATACTTGAATTGATTTGTCAAACAATACGTAATAATTATAAAACCAATTTATTTTACCTCACATATGATCAGATGCTCCTGAGTCAAGTAACCAACCTTTCTCAATATCGTTCCCGTTATAAATGCATTGTCATCATCACTTTTACTTGTTCCCCCGTATGTTTTCTTAACTTTTTGATTTATCAACTATTTCCCGCATTGATTTTTCCAATGCTCTGGTAAATTACAAAAATAATAATTACTTGGTTTCCCAGTACCTTTTAGATTGTGAGTGGAAACCACGTTGGAACGATGAATATATTGATTTTACAATGATGTTTTTTTTTTTTTTGTGTGTTTGTGTACACGATAATAAGTCGAAATAAATTTTCAACTTCAGTATCTTGTTCGATGGGACAGTGAATATTATTCGTGTATTGGGGAGGTCAAAATTTAAAATTCCCAATGGTTTTCAAAACCGACGGGAAAAATAACAAAAATTAAGGAAAAACGAGAATTTTTACGCAAAATCGATTTTGGTTTTTGGAGTAGCTCTAAAACAAATGAACCTATTAACATAAAATTTTCACTGGTTGTTTATATTTGCATTTTCTATACACGATAACATTTTAAAAATATTTAGATTGGTTTTGAACTGTTTGAACATTTTCTGTTTCCAATTTTATTAGTATTTTTTTCTATGAATGTCAATAAAACTTTATTTGTTGGTAAAGAAGTTGAAAATTTAATACAAGGCTTTTACATTATTGTTGCAATGACATTTGAAAAATATTAAAAATCCTTAGTCACAGTTTTAATTTATAAGTATTTAAAGTTCAAATCTTGACAAAATACGGAATAATCGCGAAAATTAGCAAATTATTTTGGGTTGAGAATTCATAAAAATTGTTCTTTTTAATTCCAAGATTTGAAAATTTAATACAAGATTCCTCATAAGTTAGTCTAACTTTATCAAACAAAAAAAAATGTCTACAAGCAAATCAAATTAAATTTTTATGAGCGTTTGAAATTCATATTTTTACAATATTGGATTTCAAATGTACCTACCTAGCGGTTTTGTTATTTTATTGTTATTCAAAAACAAATAACTGTAGATACATGAACATTTTACTGAGTGTTTATATTTTCATTATCTATACCTATACCATACAATTTTTAAAATATTTTGACTGTTTTTGAGCTTTTACCGGAAATTCTCAGTTTTCAATTTTTTTAGTTTTTTTTCTATAAATATCAATAAAATGTTAGTTGTTCTGTCCAAAAGCTTGAACATTTAATTCAAGGCTTCTGATATATTGTTACAATAGCAGTTTAAAAATATTAAAAATACATTGGCACAATTTTGTGTTATAATAGCGCTTAAAGTTCAAATTTTTAATTTTTAATTATTCTGTAGTTAAAAATTTACTATTTGTTCAACTTTCATAGCTAAGGATTTAAAATTTAAAATAAGGTTCCACGTAAATAGGTTATAACATATAAATTACTTTATTCACAATAATATCTTCAAATATACTAAGTAATATCATAGGAAGGCTAACTGACCGTCTTCGCTCAGAATTGTTTTTCTTATACAATGATATCATTGGATTCAAATTGAACACAATCCATTACAAGCCCACCTTTTTTGAAATGTATTTTAATTCGTATTTGGAATAGGTACATTAATACTCATTTATTCGAATACGGAATAAAAGTTATTCTTTACAACACTACCACCCACCATCAAAACTGCAAATAATATATTAGGTAATACATTATGTATTTGTATTTTACGTTGGACAGCAAAGGATTTTAATTAAAAATAAGGATTTTAATTTCTGAAAATAAAGAACTAATTAATATAACAATTATACGAATATCCATAACAACTATAGATTTGGCTATTATTTTGATTTATACAACTTCAGGCTTTTACATGCAAATAATATTAGTGGGTTTATTCTAATTTCTAATCCTTATATAAAACATTTAATTGACAGAAATTATTAAAAATAAAAATTTACCTATAAGGACTTAAGAGTTAGGTCATAATAAATCAAACAATTTCGCAACAAGTACAGTAGGTATAACATTTTTTTAACAACTATCGTAAAAATTAAAAAATTCCTGTACATATATTTCTTAAATTATTTATTATCCATATAATTGTCATAATAATATTGTTGTGTACATTTTTTTCCAGGTCTTTCTGGTTTTGTGACCAACATTTTCTTTTAAATTTAAATTATTGAAATATAAAATAATAGTAAAATTAGAAACTACAACGTTGGCTAATGGCCAGAGGAACAGTACCCATTATGTATAATTTGGTTATTGTTCGGAAGGGTCGGCGTTTACGAATTTTAATTACCTTACACAATTACGAATGTAGTTCGTAAAATCGTATACTGCTAAAACGGCCTCTTGCAGGGTCGTAATGGCGTTAAAACGCCCAGTCTGCGATCCGATCAAAGGGCCCTTTCTAAGGTTCTACATTCTACTGAAAATTGTTAGCTCTGTTCTCTACTTCTCTATTTTTGTATTTTAATAAGATTAA